AAAACTCCATGATTTCATAAATTGGTAGAGTTCTATGGAGGAAAAGGCAAGAGATCCATCCCACTGTCTCTGGTTTATACAACACCTAAGCCATTCCAGATTAATCACACTTCCAGAAAACCAGATTTCACAACTTCCCTCACTAACACATTCTTCTGGCTAATGGTTTGTAATACTCTCTCTGGAGATGGAAACAGTAGCTCCTCCTATATTCCTAAAAACCTCTGCGTCAATTCTCAATTTTCTCTAGAATAATCAGGAAGACAGGAAAGTCTATAAGACCTAAAGACATTAATTTTCAGGAAGCAGAATGGCATAGGGAAAAGCATGTAGGTCTGGGGTCATGACAAAGACCTGCCTGAGGGCTACCTACAGCATGGAGAAATGACTTCTCCAATCCGGGCTATGACACTAAGTAGCTCTGTGACTTTGAGCAAGTCAGTCAACTTCTCTGGGACTCAGTTTGTTCATCTGTAAAATGAAATAATTTATTTTTAACTATGTTTAATGTCTCTTCCAGCTCTAAAATTTTATTATTCTAATGATGAAATTTTAGACACCTTTGACATGTGAATAGGGAAAATAGTTTTATGGATTAAGGCAGTCTATCTATATAGCACCTCTCAAATCACAAAAGATTTTGTGACCAACCTGGGAAAAATGTACACTCAGGAATCTGAAGACTTCCAAAGCAAAATCTTTCACTTTGAAACCCAATGGATTAAGGAAGGGTTGGGCCTAAGGGCTCAGTAGTTGTCTTCTTCTTCTTCTTCTTCTTCTTCTTCTTCTTCTTCTTTTCTTCTTCTTCTTCTTCTTCTTCTTCTTCTTCCTTCTCTCTGTTTTTGTCTATCTCTTTGTCTTTTTCTATATGTTTTTTGTCTGTCTGTCTGTATCTCAACTCCTTCCACTTCAAACCCAACCCTTTTTTCTATTCCTTCTTGTCTTTTCTTTTTCACTCTTTCTGCGGAGCTAGTTCCCCCCAGTTCTTCACTTCATATTAGCTCATCTTGAGTTCCCACACTTTTCTACACACTTTCGACCTCTAAAAGCCATTCTGTTACTTTACATCATAGATCATTCTATTCTCCTTCTTAGAGTGGCATGTCCGTGGACCCTCTTCTTTAAGCTTTTTTATCTTCTGGAAAACTTTTGAATCAAAGTACGAGACATGTGCATTTGATCACACTTTAGCTTCTCTGGCTCCAGCCAGGCTGGACATACCCCTAAATCCACAATGTTTCCAAGGGAGAAAAAAAATCATTATTCACAGGCCATAAGCAATTGAGGGATACTGCTGAAAAGTAGGCTCTGGACCTTGGGATGATCTTCGAGTCTGCATTTCTGGGAAGATAATCCTAGATAAAGGGTAGAAGACATTAGCAAAGTAGGGGAAATGTTACAAAGGATGAATGACTCAAAAAAGAATAGGAATGATAGAGAAGGAAGTGGATCAGAAGAGAAAGAACTGGGAGAAGCAAAGAAATGGGCCCTTTGTAGCTACCTCACACTGATTTCCCTGAACTGTTGTTGTTGTTGTTTTCATAAGAAGAAAATGAAATGTTATCATAGGGCTATAAATGTAGAGCTAGAAGGGACTTATTTATTAAGTATCTAATATGTGTCAGGGACAGTTAGGTGAGTCGGTGGCTGTTCCTGAACAAGAAGCCCCACCTCTTGGCTCCAGGCTTTGTCTTTGGCCGTGCCTTGAACACTCTTCCTCCATGCTCTGACTACTTACCATCCTGGGCTTTCTTTTTTTTTTTAAGTTATACACATGTATAATCATGTTAAACGTATTTCCACATTTTTCATGTTTTTATTTTTTCCCCAGTTACACGTCATGAAAATTTTTAGCATATGTTTACAAATTTTGAATTCCAAATTTTTCTCCCTCTTTCTCCCTCCACTCCCCTCTTCTGAAAAGGATAGGCAGTTTGATATAATTTATATCTCTACTATCATGTAAAAATTATTTCCATATCAGTCACAGTTGTGAAAGAAGAAACAGATAAAAAAAAACCACAAGAAAGAATAAAGTAAGTTAAAAAAAAGTATGCTTTGATCTGCATTCAGAGTCTATCAGTTCTTTATCTGGATGTGGACAGCATTTTCCTTTCTGAGTCTTTTGTACTTCTCTTGGATCATTGTGTTGCTGAGAAGAGAAGAGTCAATCATGGTTGATCATCACAGTGTTGCTGATACTGTGTACAATGTTTTCCCACTTCTGCTCATTTCACTTTGCATCAGTTCATACAAGCTTTTCCATGTTTTTCTGAAATCTGCCTGTTCATCATGTCTTACTGCACAATAGTATTCTATTGCATTCATATACCACAGCTTGTTCAGCCATTCCCCAATGGGCATCCCCTCAGTTTCCAATATTTTGCCACCACTGAAAGGGCTCTTATAAATACTTTTGCACATGAAGGTGCTTTTCCCTTTTTGATGATCTCTTTGGGATACAGCCCTAGAAGTGGTATTGCTGGATCAAAGGGTATGCACAGCTTTATAGACCTTTGGGCATAGTTCCAAATTGCTTTCTTGAATGGTTGGATCAGTTCACAATTCCATCAACAATGCATTAGTGTCCCAATTTTCCCACATCTTCTCCAACATTTATCATTTTCCTTTTCTGTCATATCAGCCAATCTGATAGGTACAACAAGGTGGTACCTCAGGGTTGTTTTAATTTTCATTTCTCTAATCAATAGTGATTTAGGACATTTTTTCATATGACTATAGATAGCTTTAATTTCTTCATCTGAAAACTGCCTGTTCATATCCTTTGACCATTTATCAGCTGGGGAACAGACTTGCATTCTTATAAATTTGATTCGGTTCTCTATATATTTGAGAAACACTGACTATAAAAATTGTTTGCCAGCTTTCTATTTTCCTTCTAATCTTGGTGGCATTGGTTTCATTTGTGCAAAAAACTTTTAAATATAATGTAATCAAAATTATCTACTTTGCATTTCATAATGTTCTCTATCTCTTGTTTGGTCATAAATTCTTCCCTTCATAGATCTGACAGGTAAACTATTCCTCACTCTCCTAATTTGCTTATTGTATTACCCTTGATGTTTAAATCATGTGCCCATTTTGACCTTATCTTGGTGTGAGATGTTGGTCTATGCCTAGTTTCTGCCATACTATTTTTAGTTTTCCCAGAAGTTTTTGTCAAATAGTAAGTTCTTATTCCAGAAACTGGAGTTTTGGGGTTTATCGAACAGTAGATTACTATAGTCATTGACTACTATGTCTTGTGTACCTAATCTACTCCACTGATCCACGACTCTGTTTCTTAGCTAGTACCAGATAGTTTTGATGATTTCTGCTTTATAATATAGTTTTAGATCTGGCATGGTTAGACCACCTTCCTTTGCATTTTTTTCATTAATTCCCTTGATATTCTTGACATTTTGTTTTTCCAGATAAATTTTGTTATTATTTTTTCTAGCTCTATAAAATATTTTTGGTAGTTTGATTAGTATGGCACTGAATAAGCAAATTAGGTAGAATTGTCATTTTTATTGTATTAGCTCAGCCTACCCATAAGCAAGTGATACTTTTCCAATTGTTTAGATCTAACTTTATTTGTGTGAAAAGTGTTTTGTAATTGTGTTCACATAGTTCCTGGGTTTGACTTGGCGATAGACTCCTAAATATTCTATATTGTCTACAGTTATTTTAAATGGAATTTCTCCTTGTATTTTTTGCTGCTGCACTTTGTTGGTAATATATAAATATAAATGCTGATGATTCCTGTAGGTTTATTTTATATACTGCAATTTGCTAACATTGTTAATGATTTCAAGTAGTTTTTTAGTTGGTTTGAGTCTGAAGAGGGAGGAAAGTGAAAGGAGAACAAGGATAATGGCTTGAGAAAGTGGGGAGAGGGATTGGAGGTCTCAGTAAAGGACAGGTTTAGAAGATATGAGGTATAAGGAAAAGAAGAATGACAGGAGGTTATAGTTAGATTGGGGGAAGGCAGAGTTTCTAGTTAGAGAAAAGGAAGACATAGGCAATGGTGTGATCTAGAATGTGATCATCTCTGTGTGTGGCTGAGGTAAAGAGGAGTAGGTCATGAGATTTAAGAAGGCCATGAAATTGGGAGGTTAAGGATTTTGAGGGAGTGTCTAAGTAGATATCCAGTATGAAGTCAGGAATTGGAGAGGGAGGAAATATGGTGAGCCAGGAAATGAACCCCTTGAGAAAGGAGGGAGGATGACGTTGGATCATTAGTCCAAACCCTTTATCTTAAAAGAAGCTGTGACCTGGAGAGCTTCCTAGGCTTCTTATATTTTATTCCCTTTCACAAACTCTGTAATCCAGCTCCACTGACCTATTTGCTATTTCTCATTCATGACATTCCACCTCCAGATCTTATGTATTTGTCCTGGTTTTCCCTCCTGACTAGAATGCTGTCCCTCCTTACTTCCCCCTTGCTAGCTTCCCTGGTTTCCTTGAAGACTCAACACAAATTCAGCTTTCTGCAGAAGGCCATTTGCAGTATCTTGTTCTGTTGTTGTTCTGCTGTTTTTCAGTCATGTCTGACTCTCTGTGACCCAATTTGAGGTTTTCTTGGCAAAGACACTGAAGTGGTTTGCCATTTCCTACTCCAGCTCATTTTACAGATGAGGAAACTGAGGCAAACAGGGTTAAGTGACTTGCCCAGGGTCACACAACTAGTAATTGTCTGGGGTCAGATTTTAACTCAGGAAGACTCATCTTCCTGACTCCAGGCCCAGCACTTTATCTACTGTGCCACCTAGTTGCCCATAGAGAGAGTAAAAGAGCAACCAAATGGTCATTCAAGTCCCCCCAGTATAAATCCTGGCAGAGCTAGCATTTACACACAGGCCATGTGACTTCAAGTTTAGTGCTCTTTTCACTTTATTATGCTGTGAGGCACAAATATTAGTATCTTCATTTTACAGACAAAAAACAAGCTTGGAAAGTTTAAAGTGACTTATCCAAGGTCATATATGCGTAGCGAATTGAAGATTCAAACTTGGGTCAATAGAAGGCAACTTCATGTGTGGCACAGACTCCAGGGGAGTGTCTGAATGTCATTCCCAAATGTCTGAGAGAGGGGAGATCAGCATCAGTCTGGAGTAATGAGGAAAGCAACATATAGTAGCAGGGGCTTTAATCAATTCTTATTCACTGACCAACTTGAATTGGGCCTTGAGGAATGAGTAAGATACAAAAAAACCTGGCTCTCAGTCTGAGTTGGTTGGGCTGAATCATTAACTAGGAAGAAGGTATCCATAGTCAACAGAGGAATGAATTCACTAGACCACTGTTTCTCAGAGGCTGTGGTTTTTAAATAATTATAGCACACAAAAATTCTGGTTGATGATCACTTCTAAGAATTTTTGCAGAGTGAAAGCTCCAAGCATTTGAAAAATCCTTAACAAAACCTCAGAATGTTTGGGCATTTGGGGAATTAAAATACGGTTTTTTTTCAACTTCAATATCTTGCCATCCTAACTCACATGCAAATTTAAAACTAACTTTAACTGACAGTCTTTTTTTTCCCCTTCTTTACTGGCAGCAAAGTTCTTATGTCAACTCCACCTCCAATTAGAGAAACTTAAAAAAAGAAACTTCATGATGTAAATGTCATTTACTTTGTAATTCTGTTAGTTGTGGGTTATGCTAAGTAATACTCAAGGCCATGACAGCACAGAAAAAGCCTGATCCTTCCTTTTGCTGGAATTGCCCTTCATTTCAATTCACTTGCCTGACAAACCAAAACCTAGCAGAGGATACAGTGAATTGTTTCCCAAGAGTAATATATACCAGATTCTCACTTCTTTTTTCACTACTGTTTCCCCCAGGATTGTACAAAAATATATATGGGGTTTCTGGGAAATACTCATTGTCCTTTGGCAGACAGGAATTTGGGTGAGCTCCTGGCATCAGTATACAACCTTCTGATTTATCTCTTTCATTGGAATAAAAAATCATTAACTGTTGATGAGATGTTTGGGGCTGGAAATAGTAGAACTAAGATGATCTAATCCAATCCCCTCATTTTACAGAGGCCTGGAAAGGTTAGGTGTTTTGCCCTAAATCCTACAGGTAATAAGAGGAAGAGATGGGATTGCAATCCACTCCCATTTCGAATCTTCTGACTCTAAATCAAATATTCATTCAGCTACACAACACTCATTCTTTATGAAACATGTAGAGCATATAAATTATCTTGATTTTGCTATGGACAGTGAGAGCTAAGAAAAGCCACATGACATCTCTAAATCATTAGTTAAATATAACTGTTTATCTATCTATCTATCTATCTATCTATCTATCTATCTATCTATCTATCTAATGTGAAGGGTTTTGCACAGTCATACCAGTAGTAAGTAGGGAGTTTGAGGGCTGAACCAAATGGATATTTAAGTATTTAAGGTAAAAATATTTTAAGTATTATTATATATTAAGTATTATTAAGTATATGTTAAGCTATATTAAGTATTTAGACAAACTCAGGACCTATAGATAGATAGATGGTAGATAGATAGTCTTATTCAGCCAGTTAAAGTTTATATTTTGAAAAATAGGACATGAAGTAACTCTTCCAAGTGACCTTTCATATAAGTTGGAGTTGGAAGTTCAATATCAAAAATAGAACTGGAATTCAATTAGGGAGTGACAAATTATATTACATTACTGTACTAATATATGATATATACGTGTATATGTACAATCTACAGGATAAATATATATACCCTCCAAGATACACATATGTATTATATATTCTCCAGAATATATATATATATATATACACACACATAATCTAGGATATATATCTACATATGTATATAGATAGATACATGTACATATACACACACATATATAATCTCCTGAGAATTTCTTAAAAGTGGATTATTTGGGGATTGCCACTCCCCATCCCCAAGCCATTTTCTTAAGATAAGTGTGACAAAGTTTTGGTTGCCAGCATGTGATACTACTGAAGCCCTCCTCCAATGCCACAGAGTTAAAATTGGAAGATCCTATGGGTAGGGGTAAGTCACCAGCTAAACATCCCTACAATATAAAAAGCATCTTTCCTCAAAATCAGAAGTCATAAGATATTAGGGACTGGTCACATAAAGTTGCCTAAGTAGTTTTGGGGGGCTAATTTCCAAAAGCTGTTGTAGAAATGAAGTTCCACATCAGTTTAGACTCGTACCTTGCAGATGGCTACAAAAGCCTTAAGCCTGTTCAGGTGAATCCTTATTGAGAGGCTCCTAACCGGTGCATAATCTCTATTTTAGCTTCCGAATATCTGAAACCCATCTGGCCAGCAAGTTCAGTTAACCATTCAGACAACTACACAAACGTATTGCCGAGGCACATGGTTGCTGTCTCTCGGATTGGTTTTGGATATCCAAATTGTGTAACTGGAGAGAGATCAGTCCAGCTTGCCTCAGAACCCTCCCACTCAGGAAAGTGAAATCTGCCCTGTGATTAATGTGAAAAATGGATACTTTCAGTAGTTACTAATTTGACCTGGTGTCAAGGAGGAGGCGGCAGAGATGGAGGATCGGGTATTTGTACTGCCCTGTTTTTCAGATCCTTATTTGGTGAAGCCTAGTTTACCTGTGTCAGTGTATGTTTGAGCCAGGACAGTTAACGTATGCGCCCAGGGGCCCAGTGACAGCCCGGAGAAGGCAGAGGCAGTAAAGGAGTGACTCCTGCCCCCGTTGCTGCTGTTGCTGACGTCCCAGCCAAAAGAGATGAATGGGATTCCAAACCACTGGAGTCATGCTGGCTCGGACAATTTCTCTGGAGACCAGATAGAGACATGAGGCAACAACAATGCTAACGCCCGTTTGTGGTCCCACAAAAATGTCACGACGCACCTCCGTTTACGGGAGCCCAAGAATGAAAGGAACGTTTAAGGAGGTAAAAGGAAATAGAGCAAGCAGAAAAGAGCAATCTATCACCTAGTGTATCTGAGCTAAACTCCCGAAGCCAGGTGGCTCTGAAAATTATCCACGCAGGAGTCACGTTTTAAAAGCACGAGTAGGCAAAAGAAACTGTTTTTCCAAGATCCAACTTAATTTTGGTTTCCAGAGGCGGGGGGGAAGGTGGGATGAAGGGGGGGGAGAAGTGAAAGTTTGGTTCAGGATTCCTGGCTAGAAAGAGAAAAGTCCTCCTGATCAAGTTCCCGAATAAGAATGCACTTACCGCCCCCAAGTGGAAACTGATCGAAGTGGTGTCTCAAGCTTTGGGGGGGTGGGTCACTCAAAGTCAAGTCCGCTGCAGCCCAGCTTTAGGGGAGAGTGAAAGGGACGGCTCCTCCGACTAGCAGAGAAAATGGAAAGGGAGTCAAGGCTCAGCTTCCACCTCAGGGGAAGATCCTCAGCGTGGCGCGCCACTAAACACCTTTAACCACAAATGGGAGATGTGGGTGCTGCGAGGAGAGGGAAGCAGCCCGGCCGAATCACGATTCAGGGAGATCCCTATGTGAATGCTAAGAACGAGTGTCCCAGATAGTCCCCTTATCCGTTCTTTCTCAAATGGCCCAAGCCACCCTCTGGGATAGTCTCAAAGTGCCTTGTTGCCCTCTCCTTCCCGCCTCGCGCCCCCTTCCCCCGCCTCCCCCCAGCAGCGTGGTGCTGGGTAAAGGGTACAGGTTTTGAAGTCGAAAGGCCTGGGTTCAGATTTTAACTTAGCTCCTTACTACCTCTGTGACCCTGGACAAGCGACCTCCCTCTTTTGTATCTGAGTTTCTTTATTTGAAGGGCAAAGGGCTCGAAGGACTTGGAATCGATGATTTCCAAGGTTCCTTCCAGTTCTAAATCTATGCTCTCTTAACTCCAATCCCTTTTAGAGTTAGCGTTCCGTTACAAAGCCAGAAGCACCTAGTGAGACTCTGTCAGGGTGTCAAACAAGGGAGATCCAGCCCTGGATCCCCTGCGCATACGAGGAAAGTTAGAATGTATATCTTGTATACTGTAGGCGCTTGTTAAATATTTGTTGAATTGAATCCATTTTAATTGGAGATTCCGCATGTAATTAAGTGTGAGCCAAGGGGAACAGAGAACACAGAGTAGACGAGTTATGTCCTCTCCAGAGAAGTTAGTGTTGTTCCCTCCTCCCCAGACACCACGGGCTTCACTTTCTAGCTTGAAAGTTGTGAGCCGGCCGGCCCCGGCGCGGGAGCCCCGGGAGATGAAGAGAGGAAAGAAGGAGGGGGATGGGCAGTCGGGGTGGAGGGGGGGGAACGGGGAGGAGTGGGGGCCAACCCAGTCAGACTCTCCCCCGCCCGCTTCCTGCCCGGCCGCCTCGGATTGGCTAGCGGGAGTCCCCAGGAATGTGCGCGACCCTTTAAAGGAGCACGACTCAGCCTCTTCTTCAGCCACTGCACCGGAGCAGGGGAAGCTAACTAGCTGAAGGGGACCCTGAGAAGCTCTCCCTGTCCCGACCCCCTCATCTCCGCAGCGGGTCTCCTGGCCACACTCAGCACCCCTCTGTCTCCCGACTCTTCCTTTGGACTGCTCAAGGATCTCCTCTAGCCTGTACCTGCTCTTGCTTCCCAAGACTTAGGCGCACCAGCTGCGCTTGGAAGATAACCAAAGGACTGTGCGCTACCCTGGCCCCATCCCTGTAGCTGAGGATCGCTAGCGTCCCGATTCCTTAATCCACACAGGTAAGATTTATAGCCGCCTTCCACCTCTATTGGGACACCGGGCACCCGGCTCTGTTCTTTTTGAGGATTTCTCGCCAAACTTTATCATTTCACCAGTACGCTCCCACCCACCACTGTGGGGAAAAGAAAACAAACAAAAAAACAAAAAACAACCCCAAACCTTAAGAACTCATCCCTTTCATCAGAAAATGTGCCCTAGAGTGTTCAATTCATTCCCCCCTCTCCCATCGTCTTTCTCCCACGGGTCCCTGGGAGTGCACCCCACACACCTCTGAGAACCTCAGCTCCACAAGGAAGTCTCAATATTTCATTGACCTACAAAACATACTCAAAAATGGGGTCTCTTCAGTCGTTTGACAGTCTTCCAAGAAAAGGTTAGAGCTTCCCTCTCGAAGTGATGTCTCCCTCTCTCTGTGTTTCGCTATCTCAGAGATCCATTGTCCCCAAGTTTTTTCCAGAAAAAGTTCCCAGCCCATAAGGGTTTCCCCTACAACCCTCGGAGCACTTCTGTCTGACTCCATAACTTTTCTTCTGGACTGGACCGCCTAGAGTTTCTACCTCAAGCAAGCTTTGGGTGCACAGGGGAAATCTGTACATCTCACAATCACAACCCCCACACCAGGGACCTTAGCTATTTCCCCTTCTCTTATTGTCCTTCCCTCTGGGAGGTCTTCAGAGCTTCCCTCTCTGACACTGACTATATGCTCTCTCTGCTACAGGCTTTGAGTACTAGACACAAACAGCTCCATCATGGGGCTGGCCTGGGGGCTTGTCCTCTTACTGCTGCTGGAAGTGTGTGGCACCAACAGGATCTCAGGTAAGCTTTTGCCAGAGCCGGCAGGGGGAGGGGAAAGAGGGTAAAATTGGGAGGGGTCGAATTCTGCACCATTTTAGGCAATGCTCTTGTAGGGCTCCTAGATAAACTTAGGTCTGCCTGGAAAAAATGACTGAAAAGAAAAAAATGCAGGTGTTGGCAGGCAAGAATGAGAACTCTGAATATCAAATATCCATATTAAACATAGCTATACAGCAAAAGTATATCAACCCCTCTCAAAGTTGAGTGTTGAGTGTTTTTTCTCCAGTGGAAGCCCTGATATTCTTAGATGCTTGTGTACTCTTCTGTCAGGATTTCATCCTGTGCCTTTTCTAAGCCTGCTCCTTCAGCAGGGCAACTGAGAGCCTGGCACTCTTAAGTCTAGCATACCCTACTCACCACTCACTGCATATTTTGCTCCTGTCCCATAGAGTCTGGGAGTGACAACAGTGTGTTCGACCTCTTTGATCTCCCTGGTGCTGCCAACAAGGGCTCTGGGCGCCGTCTGGTGAAAGGTCCAGATCCCTCCAGCCCTGCTTACCGAATTGAGGATGCCAATAGGATCCCCGCCATGCCAGATGACAAATTCCAAGACCTGGTGGATGCAATCCGAGCAGAAAAGGGCTTTATCTTCCTGGCCTCCCTGAGGCAGATGAAAAAGACCCGGGGCACCCTGATGACTGTGGAGTATAAGGATCAGTCCGGCCATATCTTCAGTCTAGTTTCCAATGGCAAAGCAGGCACTCTGGATCTGAGCATGGCTGTGCAGGGGAAGCAGCAGGTGGTATCAGTGGAAGAAGCTCTCTTGGCCACAGGCCAATGGAAGAGTATTGTCCTGTTTGTTCAGGAGGACCGGGCCCAGTTGTATGTCGGCTGTGAAAAGATGGAGAATGCTGAATTGGATGCCCCCATTGAAAGCATCTTCACCAGGGACCTGGCTGGCAGTGCCAGACTCCGTGTGGCTAAGGGAGATGTAAACGATAACTTTCAGGTGAGATTTCTTTTCCTAATCCAAAGGAAATTTTCCAGTGGTCTGACACTGCCAAGGGAATTGTTGAGACCACTTGTAGGTTATAGTTGGTAAGTGAGACATTATGACTCCAAATTGCCGGCTAGGGAATGATTTTTTAAAATAGTATTCTTATACAGTTATTTATCTTGTCTGCTCAGTCTCCTCAATCTCTTCATGTTTCTCCCCATTGAGATAATAACAGGCCTTTTACAAATAGGTTTGACATGCATTTTTAAGTGGGACATTTGCAAAAACAGAAATAACTTAGCCCCTTTCCCCCTTAATAAAGCAGCTTTCTTTAGCTCAGGTACAGTATTGAGTTAGAAGTGGCTTTATGTGGCTTCTTCCTTCCCTGCTTCAACCTTCATCACATTGGCCTGCACCATTTCCTGCCTTGCTTCATAGCATCCCCAGTATTCACCATCATATTTTAATTTCCTGAGTGCCTAACTGGGCTGAATTCTTTGAAAAATCTTAAAGACCCAGCAGCTGTTGAAATACTGGCAGAGGGCGCTGTTGAGACGCTGGGATTTATGTTGACAGTTTATCCAGCATGTTAATATTGAAAATAATTATTTTGCCCACAAGATTATTTAATTTGCAACACTTCTTTGTGAATTTGAACTTTGGGGGTGATAATGAGTGAACATTTCTTGCTTGTACTGAGTAATTATCATTCTGCCTCTGCCACCAGGGGGTGCTGCAAAATGTGAGGTTTGTCTTTGGAACCACACCAGAGGACATCCTAAGGAACAAAGGCTGTTCAAGCTGTAAGTTTGCTACTTTTTTCACTGGGAGATAGGAAGGGAAGAGGGCAAAAAAAAAAGTTAAAAATAAAAGTAGCAACAACAAAAATCACTTAGAACAGGTGAGACATGTTTGGGAGCTGTGCATAAGCTGCTCATGCCACATTCCTCTTTTACATCTTGTAAAGATGTAAAATGACCCATAGGCAACATTAACCCTTGCAAAATATCTTGATAATTTGGAACTCTAGGGACTGGCATGCATGACCATTTAGGGATGCCCTGTAATCTCTTGCTTTTCCTTTGTTTCTTCATAGCCACCAATCAAATTATCACACTCGACAACCCAGTAAATGGTTCCAGCCCTGCCATTCGCACTAACTACATTGGCCACAAGACCAAGGACCTGCAGGCAATCTGTGGCTTCTCCTGTGATGAACTGGCCAACGTGTTCCTGGAGCTTAAGGGACTTCGGACCATAGTGACCACGTTGCAAGACAGTGTCCGGAAGGTGGTAAGTGACAGCAGTCATTCTGGAGGAGGCATTTCCATGAGCCCCCTAAATGGATGGTTCTGAATTGTTAAAAGTATAGCTAGATACTAACAATATTTGTTTGTTTTTCAATCCCTCTTAGACTGAAGAAAATGAACTACTCTCAAATGTGGTGAAGAAGGCTTGGTCCTACCCTGGATGCAACTACAATGGATTTCAATATAATAATAATGATATGTGGACTATTGATAGTTGCACCGAGTGCCATTGCCAGGTAAAGAGACTTTAGCAATTTCCAAATAACTAGTGGTATATTTGTCAAGCTGAAATCCTGATCCCCAAAGTGGCCTAAAATTTAATTATGGCATCCATACACATTTTCTTTAGACACTTTGAAAAACATTTCTTAATTATACCTTAGGCTGGGTATTTGAGAGTACAAATCTACTGAGACAGCTGGATAATTTGGCCACTTTAGTTTAGAAATCAAAGGCTAAGTGTTGAATGTCAAGTAAGTGGAACCCTGTTAGAACATTCCTCTCTCTCTCTCTCTCTTTTTTTAAAGTCCTGATTTGTATTCAGGTGTGACACTGTGGTTCTTTTAATAGAGCACTGATTGTTGCTGGAGTGATCACTCCAGCTGGCATTCTATCAAGGTAGAGCTGTTTACCTGACTAGCTGAAATGCGCTTCCCAGAGTGTGTGTTTCACTTTAGGCCACTTTCAGGCATGTGATGGGTGAATGTTTGGAGTTTTCTGGCTCAGGGATCAAAGTTCTTTCTGAAGTGCAACTCTGTGGATCCCTGGACTTGGAACTCAAATCCACTCAATTCCCTTTCTGTTCCTGTCTGATCAATTCTGAGTCAGATCTACAGATGACAAAAAATGTTGCTTACAGATCCTTTATTTTCTTAAAAAGCTTTCACTAAACTCTGTTTGCAACATAACAGTAGAACATGACTCATGGTGTTTGGTGGTTCCCCTTGGATAACTTCTGCATGCCAGAACACTTCCACCGTTGGCTGACAAGCAATTAAGAGAAAACTCTAGAGAGCTGAGTGACAGCTCAGTGGGACTGCCTTTCCTATTGTGGCAGCTGCAAATCTAGCAAGGAGCCAACTTCTCTGTGGGATCCAGTCCAGTTAAGAGCTGACAGTCCTAACCAAATTCAGCTCAGAACTGTAACTATCATAGCATGTGAATTTCTGGTTGAAATATGCTTAGTAATGCTTTTCTCCCTTTCTCTCTCTGCAGAACTCAGTAACCATGTGCAAAAAAGTGTCCTGCCCCCTCATGCCCTGTTCCAATGCCACAATTCCTGATGGAGAGTGCTGCCCACGTTGCTGGCGTGAGTTCTTTAAATGGCATAACTATTCTGCAGTGACTAGGCCAGCCCCGCATACATACTAGACAACAGAATATAACAGTGCAGTCTCCTTCTCAATCATACACATGCATCATGTTTCTCTATCCCAGGGCTCTATTTCAGGATGCCACAGCTAATGAGCTGACAACTTGCTTTCACTGTGATGCAAAAAAAACTTAATCACAGCTAAGTCAGAAATTGGAGCCACTGCTCAGGGAGCAGTGATCAGGCAGGCTATTGATTCCATTTGTCTAAACTTAGGAAAGTGGAGATGAGTAAGAGAGCATTATCAACTGAAATTAGAGCCTTTTCTGAGTTAGTTTGCCCTCAGTGCCACTGGGGATGCACCCACTAAAGGAAGTGATGGGTTTATGGTGATGGTACTAAAATTGAAATTACTTGTATTTGAATAATAATAATTATAACTAATTTTGTATAATACTTTTAGCTAGCACTTTGTGTGTATATATATATAATATGTATTATATATAATATATGTAATATATATACTATATATACTATATATAATATATATGTATATACTAACTTTTATATAGCACATTAAGGTGCACAAAGTGCTTTGCATATATTGTCTTATTTGAGCCTTACAACCTGTGAAGTTAGTGCTATTATTATCTCCATTTTATGAGCAAACATGGTCAGTGAGTTTAAATGACTGGCCTAGAATCGTGATGTCATAAAGTGCCTGCAGAGTAATTCAAACTCAGGTCTTCCTGACTCTAGGTCCAGCATCTACTATGCCCCCTAGCTTCCTGACAAATATATTACCCATTACAGCTGGGAAATTCTAAGAACAGCATAAGTGGAAATGTCTGAATAAATAGGGATTCTTGTCACTCAAAGAAAAAAAAGTTGAAACTCTTGTCCCTGAAATTTGGGTTTTGTTGCTCGCTAGTACAAATGAATCACTTTTTAAAGCCAACATTGAATGGAATCGATACAAATCATTCAAATGATTTATCACTCTTTTTGCATTTTGCCCAAGACAAGGAAAATAAATAGGAAAACATTCTTTACACACACAAAAAAAGTTCCTGGCCTCAACTCTGAATAATCAGCCCCATCTTAGGATTGTTTTTTAGCAATACTGGCATGAAAGTGATTATTTGTATATTGGGATTTTTTGTTTTTTGCCTCACTGCTTATATTAGCTCTTGGTTTAAAGAGAGCAGAGTGAACTGGTGACTGAGCTCCAAACCTGAATCAAGGATTGCCAGGAGTAACTTCCAACTGATAAGACAGAAAAATGAAAACAAGTCCTCTACGTCTAAGGCTTAGGACAGCTAAGGTTGATTGTAGTCATGGTGCCTGTACAGATGGAAAACAAACATTTTCCTCTTATGAAAGCCTGTGTAGGGAGAGCTCAAAAAGCCAGGGGTGGGGAGGATCAACACATTGATTAACCTCATGACCTAATTGGAATCAGAGGCAAGAGCAGCCAAGCTACTTTCAAGATGATCTATGGAACACACTGCCTGGGACTCCTCTAAATGCAAGAAGTGACTCAGACTAGCTGCCCTCTGTGATTCTTGGGACCCAAGAGACTAGACATTCTCATCCAAATATCTTCAACTGTTGAAATTAAACCCATTTAAAAAGCTAAGGGGAGAAAGGTGGTGGCAGTGAATCTGAGAATAGAGACAGAGGGAATGCTTGGGAAATCTAGCCAAGGAGAACAACTAAAGGATCCCAGTGTGTTAGACATGGTGGTCTAACGTACTGCCACAGCTGTTAACCAAGGAAACAAAATTCAGCTGCTTTTTTTAGGGATGGAGGAAAAGTCTAGGCAGCAGGGTTGAAACAGGAATGGCTTTGTTTTATTTTATATGCATGTTCTCAATGGTTTTCTGTTCTTCTTACAGCCAGCGATTCTGCCGACGATGGCTGGTCTCCATGGTCTGAGTGGACATCCTGTTCGGTGACCTGTGGCAATGGGATTCAGCAGAGAGGCCGTTCTTGTGACAGCCTCAACAACCGATGTGAAGGCTCCTCCGTACAGACTCGTACTTGCCACATTCAAGAGTGCGACAAGAGATGTAAGTATCTTCTTGGTTTGGGAGTGTGGTGAATTGACCTCTACAACCAAGCAGTGTTTACCATGCACCATATGAATGACGTGATGATATCCCCCAAAGGACTGCTCCATGTGTCCTCCCTGTCTTCTGGGAAAACACAATCTAAAATAGCATTTGTCCGTGAGGCCAGGGGGCATGGTGGATGGAATCAGGAAGACCTAAATTCTAATCCTGCCTTGTAGACTTACTAGCTATGCAACCTGGGCAAGTCAGTTCATCCCTCTCCATCTCAGTTTCCTCATTTGTAAAGTGGGCGTAATATAGCATCTACTTCACAGGGTTGTTATGAGGATCATCTGAAATAACACGTAAAGGAAGCTCTGAAAACCTTAAAACACTATGCAAATGCTATTTATCATCATCATCGTTATCATCAGTAGCTAAGATTGATTTCAGTGTCAAACATAGAGCTGCTGTCGTATTCTAGGGAGGTTGCTGGTGACCTGAAAAGGGATCTGAGTCTTTGTCTTTCCACAAGGGCTCCAGACTGATACTGTCAGTAACAAGCAACGATTTACTTTAGTCAAACAGGATGGAGGCTGGAGTCACTGGTCTCCATGGTCATCTTGCTCTGTGACCTGTGGCAGCGGTGAGATCACCAGGATTCGACTCTGTAACTCTCCTAGCCCCCAGATGAATGGAAAGCCATGTGAAGGAGAAGCAAGAGAAACCAAGGCCTGCCAGAAAGAAGCCTGCCCAAGTAAGTGTAGTCATTAATGACAAACAGAGACCTGGGCCAACAGCTGTGACCTAGTTGGATTCTGGCATGTCTTGTTGACCATTTAGTGGATGACTGGTCAAAAGATGCATCCTTAAAAAAATAGAAACAAACCCTACATATTTAGTCTCTTTCTTTTAACTTCAACATCCAGAAAATTGATTATTTGAAATTTAGTTCCATATCAAACATAACCACCATGTGTTTAAGAGTAGCAAAAAATTCTATCCTAAGAGAGTATTCCAAGATTTCAAAGGAATTCTGCACAGATTAACCTTGGCTTCTTTTTCTGCAGTCAATGGAGGCTGGGGACCTTGGTCACCATGGGATATCTGCTCTGTCACCTGTGGAGGAGGACTGCAGAAGCGTAGCCGGCTCTGTAATAATCCCAAACCCCAATATGGAGGCAAGGATTGCATGGGTGATGCTACTGGAAGCCAAATCTGTAACAAGCAGGACTGTCCCATTGGTAAGTAAATCACTAATTACTCTTTTATTGCAAGCCACAAGACAGTTGCACTGAGTGGGTTTCCATTTAATTATACACTTGCAGTCAGTAAATGAGGTAGTTAAAACCCTCCTATTCACAGTGGTCTTCGTGTTCTAAAATGCAATTAGACAACATAATCTCTGAACATCATCACGGCACAGAGAAGCAAAAATGTTTTCCTCATTTTTTTGTCGGCATGCTTTCTCAGCAGCTACAGTAACTTTGCTCTAAATCTTACCCGGCTTTTTTCATCTTGGCCCAGATGGATGCCTGTCAAATCCTTGCTTTGCTGGTGCCAAGTGTACCAGTTACCCTGATGGCTCTTGGACATGTGGTGCCTGTCCTCCTGGCTACACTGGAAATGGAATCCAGTGCAAAGATGTTGATGAGGTAAGCAATTAGTGGTTCTCAGCAGCAAGCGTGTCCAGATTCTAGCCTTCAAACAAGCAATACATTTGTTCAAGATGCAGACATCTTAACACTAGGAAAACGCTTTGTTGCTTCTTCTTCTTCCCACAGTGCCAAGAGGTTCCTGATGCCTGCTTCAACCACAACGGGGTGCACAGGTGTGAGAACACTGACCCTGGCTATAACTGCCTGCCTTGTCCACCACGCTTCACAGGATCTCAGCCTTTTGGACAGGGCGTTGAGCATGCCACTGCTAACAAACAGGTACAGGAGCATATATGCCTGGCATAGGGACAGAAGTTCATAGGAGCCTAGATTAGAACTACAAAGGACCTCAGAGGTCAGTTAATCCAGTCTCCTCACTGGGCCTCTCTGGGCCTAAGGTCAGGTGATTTGCCCAAGTTCAGAGACAAAGGTAGTACATGGCAGGACCTCCAATTCCAAATCCAGAGATCTTCCCAAGATGCTCTGCTGCCTCTCTCTTGTAGTTCCTTGCTGAAGCAAGTAAAGGGAGAAGTCTTATAATATTAAGCCCTCTCAAAGGAAAAAAAAAAAGATAGATACCTTGCACTTTGGTCACATTAGCTACGGAAACATAATCTGGACAGGCAGTGATAAATCCTGCTAGGGATCTGATAGGCAGAAGCATTGAAGAGCCAAAGGAAAGACTTCATAGTATCTGAAAATGCTGCTAATATAAATAGCAGAATTCATTCATAAATGAGGATTTAGATTGATAATTCTTAGCCCATCTAGAAGATGAAAGTTTTAAGAAATACAAATGTTCATTCATTTTTAGAAAGTAATTTTGGGTTCTCTTGGGAGTAGGAATGAGAGTGAGAAGGCACCAGAATTACTTCATATGAAGTGTCTCCCTAATTTTAGGATATAGGAAGAATCTTAATTCATCTTATCTGCTTTTGAGGGGTTCTGAGAAGCTCTCTTAAAGTGGCTTTAACTATATGATGGTTTGTGTTTCCAGGTGTGCAAGCCACGTAATCCCTGCACAGATGGAACGCATGACTGCAATAAGAATGCCAAATGCAATTACTTAGGACATTACAGTGACCCCATGTTCCGCTGTGAGTGCAAGCCAGGCTATGCCGGCAATGGCATCATCTGTGGGGAAGACACTGACTTGGATGGCTGGCCCAACGAGGACCTTGTCTGTGTCGCCAATGCAACTTATCACTGCAAAAGAGTAAGTCCGGCCTTCCATCATTTCATTTTGCAAAGAATTTGATGCAGTAGCTTTCTGTTTTTTAAGTATCATAAGGAGCTGTGTGGGGCTCCAACTTTGAAAATGAGAACTGTATAAGATCTAATCTAATCTATCCAATGAGGGAGATTAAAAATCATTTAAAGTACTGACAACACTAATTGGAAGCCATCACTTTGAGGGTTACATATCGTAATTAATTGTTGTCAGAAGTGGTACAAGACAATACCAGCTGGAGAGGTTGACTCATACTTACAACATGCAAAAACTATTGAGCCTGTGGCAACAGTTCAAATACCTTCTCTGCATCTCCAAAAATAAGCCTGCCTGCCTGTACAAGTGTGTGATTTGCAGCATCCCTGATGTGTTCTCTTTAGCCTTTATGGGCACTTAAGCAACAATGTTTAAGGAAGGGGAATAAAGAGAATGGAAATTTGGGTTGTAACAAGAATGTTCTTTCTCTTCCTTTAGGACAATTGCCCTAACCTTCCCAACTCTGGCCAGGAAGACTATGACAAAGATGGAATTGGTGATGCCTGTGATAGTGATGATGACAATGATAAAATCCCAGATGACAGGGTAAAGGACTAAACATGTTTCTCATTTCTTCTTTCATCTTTCCCATTTAGCAGCTGCCTGGTAGCCTGGAGCTCCTTAAAATTCAAGACAATTGCAAGGTTATCAGAAATTGTACTGTCAGTAGTATATTTCATAGCTGAAAAAAATTTAGGGGAGGAGACTCAGAGTTTGAAAGCCAGATGAGTTTTTAAAATTAAGTTGTCTGCAAATCTTTTTCTCCAGAGAATCTCCAGATGCTTCATCCTCTAGGTTAGCATTGAGATTAAAAGTTATTCTCATATTTCTATAAACCTTCTCCCATATGATCTCTATTAATGCCATTCCTAAGTTATGTAGTAGGCTTACATTGGGAATGGGGGGGGGTGGCAGTATCAGAGATGAGATGATAATGCTGCAAGAGTCTTTTCTTCACTCACAATGATCTATGATATAAAATGGAATTCATTTCCATACATAATTTCATGGCTTTTATTACTTTGTGCTGTGATTTTTTGTTTTATTCTAGGTACTTAGCCAGCCCCTAGCATAGTGCCTAGTATATATAGGAAGGGATTAATAATGCTTGTTACCTAGAGTACCTATTAAGTAACCATGCTGCAAATTGTATACAGTTGTACTTTGAAGTGAGTTGAAGTGGTTTTCATTGTTAACCTAACATTTCTGAATTCTTTCTCCTGTTCAGGACAACTGCCCATTCCATTATAACCCAGCCCAGTATGACTATGATAGAGATGATGTTGGTGACCGCTGTGACAACTGTCCCTATAACCACAATCCAGACCAAGCAGACACTGACAACAACGGAGAAGGAGATGCTTGTGCTGCAGATATTGATGGAGATGGTAAGGGCTCCTGGTTAATAAGTCTTGCAATGTGCTAAGCAATTGTATCTTTCGTTATCATCTTCAGACTTGGCTAATAATATTCAGTTTGAATGAGAGGCCTTAGGCCAGAGTATCAAAATCTTATCTGTTTACGGTAATCCTACCTTACCTTACTTCTTTCTGCAGGTATCCTTAATGAGAGAGACAATTGCCAATATGTATACAACGTTGACCAAAGGGATACTGATATGGATGGTGTTGGTGACCAGTGTGACAATTGCCCACTAGAACATAATCCAGATCAGGTAGGTGTCTTTAAAAATATATCTTTCAATGGCCATTTTCTAAACCTTGAACAATGCCATGAATGCACACATGATAGTTTCTACATCCCCATCATCATAATTCATTAGGGTCTCATAAGCAATTGCAAACCTTTGATAAACATTGTAATAAAGATAAACAAAGTACTGAGCTCATGCAGATCTTCCCGGGTCATCTGATGTAGGATGTATATGTATTTAATCTTGTTTACTTAATTTTCTTCCTGGGACCTAACAATACTGGTATATTTGATTTTTCTGTTCATCTTTGGATACAAAAACATAGAAGTGTTTCCTTTTAGATGAAGCAGGAGATTTGTGACTTTGGTGGCTTAGAACAATGTACCATTAAATATATATATAGAAATAAGACCATTGAGGAAAAGGTATGCCCTGAATTGGGTCTAGAATTTGGCCTTGGGAAGACAGATAAAGTGAAAACAGTAATCAGTCTTGCAGAAATCAGCTGTTTACTTTACCATAAATTTGACATTAAAATAAGTCCTGTTTTACCCAACCTAAGGCATTCTGGGAACAGGTCTTAACCAGAGCAGGTCCAAAATTTTAGAGCATTTCATTTTGTTGTTGTTGTTGTTATAATCATACACTGACTCTTCAAGGATGAATGTAAAAGTGAGAAAAAATGCAACGTACATTTCAAAGAATTGTTACTTTTCTCTTATTGGCAGTGGAGAAAACAGCCTCAATAAAAAAAAGCAGGAAGGTTTAATCTTTGCTAGATTAAGGTGAAAGTTCTGCCACCTAATACTTTAGCTCTACAGCTGATAAAGGATCGTACAATCCTTTAAAGAAGAAGGGGGAAAAAACCACCAGTATTAATACCTTCAGGTACATAAGTAGATTGTTTGAATGATCCTAAGGAACTCTTACCATACAAGGACCTCCTGACAATTCAAAGATATTGAGTGTTATGTATTTTTAAATTTGAGGCTTTGCATAAAATTCAAAACTTCTTCAAGGCCCATAAGTTCTTTCCAAGAAAGCAATAAAGCTTTACTAAGGTTACTAAAACTTACTAAATATTATCTTAAGAAGAACTAAGAATCTCTTAAGTAGCCAAATCTATCCTAGAAAATCTCCAAAACATGAGACACGGCAGACATGTATAAATATCCCAAACAAACTTACAAGTTGAAGACATAGAGAATTGAGAATATGGTAAACGTATCTTTCACACTAGCAAATGTGTCATTCCTAACCGAGCTAAGATCAGATGATCAAATGACAGTAAATGAAAAGGTAAAAAGCAAACAATTAGCCCTTATCCAGCATCTTCTCTGGAAAGCTGGCCCAGAAAATAGTGAGGACACTAATCACAAAGGAATCCTACCAACGCCTGTGCTTTTTTTAAAAAACTTATTCAAGATTGGCATATTCATAGATGCCTGGGGTCTGCTCGCTCTTAATAGCTACATTTGTCAAAGGTTCTGTTCTCCTTTTGTTATTCTCAGTATAGAAGCCCACAGAATTCCTTTGGGTCACTCTATATGGCTCTGGAGTTCTAATTAGAGCCTATTACCAGAATTGCATTTACATGTATTTTCTGTGCTTTAAGAACATAGAATGGAGGCTGTCATACCAATTTGTTGTGTATCACATATCAGTAAATACATCAAAACCAAGCTCAAAGGACAGAGATAAGATTTAGTATCGGGGCTTCATCTAGTTTTTGGAAATGGAAATAAAAGGTACATATGTGTTAAGAATCCCTAAAGTTTAAGTAATTGGATATTATTCTTCACCTTGGTCTGAAATCTTTTTTTTTTCTTTTGAAACTCCAGACATCCTTGGAGTCTCAAATCATCATGTCAGTAAGATGTCAGATCAAGACAAATTATTTTAAAGGTGAAAAGCTTTAGCATAAGTGAATTTTCTCAGTTATAAAGACTAAACACTTTATTCTCTTTTGGAGGGGTCTCTTAAGTAACAGCAGTTCAAACACTGAGATTCTCACCTTTGTGTTAAATAAACCATTGAGAGCAGATTATAGGTTCTCTGAAGGCAGGAAACATTTCTTATTCACTTCTACATCCCCTTAACATCTAGCATAGTATTTTGCCAATATAAGATATTTAGTAAACATCTGTAGAAAGAGTGAGTGAATGGTCATTGATTCTTCCATTTTTTTCCTTCCTCCTTTCCTTTTCCAGTTGGACTCCGACTCTGATCGTATTGGCGATACATGTGACAACAACCAGGATATTGATGAAGATGGCCACCAGAACAATCTGGACAACTGCCCCTATGTGCCCAATGCCAATCAAGCTGATCACGACAAAGATGGCAAAGGGGATGCTTGTGACCATGATGATGACAATGATGGTATCCCCGACGACAGAGACAACTGCAGACTGGTGCCCAATCCTGACCAGAAAGATTCTGATGGTAAGTGAACTAGTCTATGATTTCACAGGGGTACTTTCCTGACATGAGTATCCATTTCCAAGGCAAACAAAAATACAACTGAAGAATACAGCAATAACCAAATAGGAAAAGTATTATTATCCTGTGAGGTGAACATTTGTAATATTCCCTGGCCCCAGGATTATAAACGGGTTCCATTGTATCTGCCCTGGAAATATTTTGTCCTCTTTAAAAATCTTCACATTGTATTTTAAGTAGTGTGATATAATCCTGGGAAATAAGCTTATCAGAATGGGGACTAAGAGATTCTCACTTCTAATGACAATTTGGGTGCAGTTTTGAACTTTTTGCCTCCTCCCTAATTGTCGCAGGAAAATGAATCCATAAAGGAGTAGGGTTTTGATTTCTAACAGCAGTCATGCTACTGCTTTTGAGTTATCCCTGTGTTTTTTTTAACCTCAGGTGATGGACGGGGTGATGCCTGCAGAGATGACTTTGACCATGACAATGTCCCAGACATTGACGATATCTGCCCAGAGAACTATGACATTAGTGAGACCGATTTCCGACGATTCCAGATGATCCCTCTGGACCCTAAGGGGACATCCCAGAATGATCCCAACTGGGTTGTGCGTCACCAGGGTAAAGAGCTGGTCCAGACTGTAAACTGTGATCCTGGCCTTGCTATTGGTGAGTATAATTTTCTTAAAATGAGGGCCTGATGAAGAAATAAGATGTAAAACCATGTAAAACCTGTTAGTTGGATAAGATTCCTTTAGATCTTAAGGGAGTCCTAGAAACATCTGAGACTTCTAATAGGACTCAGCTGAGGACTGACTGTCAACTTGAAATATCTCTTCTTTCAGGCTTTGATGAATTTAATGCCGTGGACTTCAGTGGCACCTTCTTTATCAACACCGAAAGAGATGACGACTATGCTGGCTTTGTGTTTGGCTACCAATCCAGCAGCCGCTTCTATGTCGTGATGTGGAAACAGCTCACCCAGTCCTACTGGGACAGCACTCCCACCATAGCTCAGGGCTATGCAGGTCTCTCAGTCAAAGTGGTCAACTCAACCACAGGGCCAGGGGAGCACCTGAGGAATGCTCTGTGGCACACAGGAAACACCCCTGGTCAGGTAAGCCACAGCGATGCTAAGCAGTGGCATAAGGGCACAAGGGGAACATCATTGGCAATAGAGATACTGTCCTTTGAATAACTCCATGACCATGGAAGTTTTAGAAGTTAAACTCCCCAGAAGCTTCAATAACTGCTAGTCACACTGACTTTGTACCTAGCTTTGAGTATGATGTGGTGCGTGCAGGAAGCATACTGTGCCTAGGAAGCTCCCCTTCAAGGACAAAAAAGAAGTTTTGGACCCCAGCAAATAGGAGGATTTCCATTCTTCCTCTTCCCCAAAGATATAGTATCTCTGTTCTGTTTGAGTTAATAGCTACATTTTAGACATGCAGGCAAGAATGCACATCAAACTGGAAAGAGTATGAAAAGTCTTCTCTTCAAAACACTATTTATTTGGAGCTGCTCAATAACTTTAGGGATTTGTTTCTTTTGAAGTGTCTTTTTTTTAGTGCATTAAACTAAACTTTTCATTATTTTTTTTTCCTTCAGGTTCGAACCCTATGGCATGACCCTCGTCATATTGGCTGGAAAGACTTCACTGCCTACAGGTGGCGTCTTAGCCACAGACCCAAAACTGGTTTCATCAGGTAATTATACTGATAAATTTGTCATGAATCAATATTATTCCAAAGTAGTTTGGTGAAGAAAGAAGGGTGGGACTACCCAGATTCAGTTTTCCACTTGAAATGACTTGGTTAACTTATGATTGCTTTTTTTTTTTAAGAGTGGTGATGTATGAAGGAAAGAAAATCATGGCTGACTCAGGACCCATCTATGACAAGACCTATGCTGGTGGAAGACTAGGATTATTTGTCTTCTCTCAAGAAATGGTGTTCTTCTCTGATCTTAAATACGAATGCAGAGGTAAGGCTAACAGAATCAACTCAAGTATAGTCAAATCTTACTGCTGAGTCTAACTGGAGGAAGGACAATATGAATCAATAAAAAAACCAGAATTACAGACTATTTTTAAAAGAAAGAAGAGGCTTCTTAGCTTGGTGAATAGAAAACTGACCTGGAAACAAAGAAATGTAGGCTGGGTTCAAGTCCCATCTCTGATACAGTTTGTTAGGTTTCATCACTTAACCTCTCACTGTCCTGGGTGATTCTCTAGGACTGTGTATGATGTTTGTCCAGGAGTTCCCTATACCAATGACATCAAAAGCCTAGTGCCTGTGTTTATTATTTGAGAGAAAAATAGTTGTTTAACTTCCAAATAAACAAACTAATATTAAATGAAGTGTCCCCTGATATTTCCCCTTAAAAGTAACAATAAATACTGCATAGTTCAGTACTGATTTCAGTCTAGTCACTTTCTAAATTATCTCAGATTCCCAATGATGAGGGTATAATTAATGTTTTCCAACAATTTAAAATAATCTAAACCTCATCTTTCATGGCATCTTCCCATACATGAAAAAAGGAAAGATGCATAGGCATTTGTGTTGGTTAAACTAATCTTCAGACTCACCAGTGACAATATTTGCTAAGCACCTACTGAGTGTCCAGCATTGTCCTAGAAATTCTTTCCATTTGTGCAAACCAACTGGTCAGGCCAGTGAGGGCAATCAGAGCATAAAGGGTTGATTGACTTAGCTCACAAATGATCTCTAAAAGGTAGTAAGACTTTGGAACAGAATTTGGAAAGGATATTTCTTGAGCTCAGCTGCTAAAGATTACATCGAATGCAGCGTAGCTCTAGTTGCTAAACTCCAGTTACTAAAATTTGTGAAACAGAGCACTGTCTCAAGGCCCTGGATTCAAATTCCACTCTTATCGATTAATACTTGTGTGATGTTGAGCAAGTCACTCAGCCTCTCTGGGACTCAGATTGCTTCATCTGGACAATTAGGGAGTTGGAGTAAATAGCCTATAAGGTCCTTTCCAGCTCTATATCTACGATCCCATTTGATCCTATCATCACTAGCATCATTGGCAACTAATGAATTTAAATGGAAATACATGAACAATCTTGAATTCTGCTTATAATTTTTATCATAAAAAGAAAGTCAAGCTGCCTGCTAGATTGTTAACTGGCTGATGGTGAAATTGTAATGCCTATACAAGCTTAACAGAATTCATTGTTTCTTCCTACAGATTCCTAATCACCAAATTGTTACTCAATAGATTGAACTTTCAAAATGCTGTGTTGCACCTTCTCAAACAATGGACTTTAAGAGCCCCTGGGATCATCCTCTTCCTCCCTCTCATCTTCTGCTTAACTAAATGTGGATTCTAAAATATGACTTGCCTTAAGAAAATGCAACTTAAAAAACAGACTCGGTACTCAGCCTCTATGGAACAAGAAGACATCTTTCAAGGCTATAAAGGATTACTTTTAGTCTACAGTTGAGCAAGAAAAAGCATCTGCTTGCTTCAATCAGAAAGATGTTTGCTGTGCTGTTCAGATTGCAGGGTACTTATGCCGCCCCTGCTATTGGCAGCCCCATGAAACGGCATTTTGTAATGAGGACATCTCTGGATGAGCTGTGAATTGCATCAGAAGCATTTCCATGCATGTGAGGGACAGAACAACTGTGGGATTAGCAAAAAAAAAGAAACTCCTCTAACTTACCCTCATTTAAAAATGGATGAGGTGGGAAGGGAGAATGTTTCTAGGGGTGGAGAGGGAGGCAGGTAGATCCATGTAACATGTCTGGAGAAAGTATGGAGGAACTGTTACAGTTCGGTAATGAATTTTTTTTAAAGGTGAATGAAAAAACTATTACTGGACTTCAGGATACTGTCCAACAGTGTTAGCTGGTTAATCCTTACCAATAGACATTTAAATGGAAGGGGAGGGAGGGAAGAATTGGCACACTGGATTCCCAGCCTTCCCCATCACTGTCACCTTTAATGCCCCAAATTGGCAGTCACAATTAACTGGTAGAAGGCAATGCTTCCCTGTCATTGCTTGGTTAAATAAAGATGATGTTTTATTCCCGACGTAGCTTTTGCAGATGTAGCAAAAAAGTAGGAAGACCTACCATCTCAGTGAGCACATGTGTTGTCCTTCAAGGAATAGGCAACTGTGCTTATATTTTATGGTTAGAAAGGCACAAAAATTATTAGCAACCTAAATAGACATTCCTTTTTATCTTTTTTTTTTATCAATGTCATGGACTTTCATAACTCTCTTTCTTGGACTGTAGATTTTAAAAAAAACCCTTCAAAATGTAACATATTTATTTTTTACCTCTCCTGGATAACCTATGACTGAAGGACTATTCAAGAAACAAGGAAGAAGTGTAGAGACTATTCATGTAATCATTGTTACGAGTCTTCATGACTGTAAGATTGTAAATACAGATTATTTATTAACTCTGCTCTACCTTGAATTTAGGTTTAGTTTTGAAAGCGCTGGGATCAGATAGTTGAGATTTATCAACTACAAAAGAGTAAATGTCCCCTAAGAATGTGGCTCAAGGAGAAGCAGTGAGTGGGGTGTTCTTTCAGTTAGTGAGTGTGAGTGATTGGGTTTTCTGGTCTTTTTTGTTTTTGTTTTTGTCTTCGGGCAGTTTGGTTGGCTGTAGATTAGTGGCTTGACTTTCAGATGACAAGAATGCCAAGAGGCCTTTACATACTGTCTGTCCCAATCTCTTGCGCCTGTTGCAAGGGAGAGGGAAAACCATTTATACCTGTTACCTTTCATTTTTCCAAAAGAGAAAAAGAAATGACAAAGGTGAAACTTATGTACAAATATTACCTCATTTGTTGTGTGACTGAGATAAGAACCTTCGGATCAAGTGGAAAGAGTTTTAATGTCTAACAAACTTTTAAATCTACTGTAGTACTAAAAGCATTCAATATTGTACATAGTATAAAAAAAGAAACTTTGCAGAAAAATGTATTCCCTGTAAGAAAATGGCATCAAAATGTTAAATACAATTTCTAATGTTATGTTTTTCTGTCATCCTGTATACCATTGCTTTATTTTTATAAGTTATTTTTCTCATTGCCATTGGAATAGATATCTCATATTGTGTAGATACGCTATTTAAATAATTTATCAGGAAATGCTACCTGTAGAGTTAGTGTTTCTATTTTTATGAAATGTTTGCACACTGAATTGAAGAATTTTTTTTTTGCTTTTTACTCCCTCCCCCCAGGTTTGTACTATTTGCATATATTCTTTTTCTAAGAATGTTTTTTTTTTGGTACACATTTTTATCCATTTTACAGTTTAATGCAGCGTAAGTTGTACAGTTTCTTACATATGAGGAACAACAATAAATCAATATGGAAATTTATATTTACACCTACTGATTCTCATTTCATTTGTTCTCTATGATCTTTACTTTATGGAACATTAGTAGATTCTATACCTAATGAAATACAGCACACATAGTATTTAACTATATCTGCTAATTTTTTTTCAAAAGACTGTTATGGAACCTGAGTTGTCTAATTCTAGAATACACTTATTCAGCCTGCAACTTTAAGAAGATTTCAAAATTTCAAAAATATGACATCCAAGACATCAATCACAGAGAATAACATTTTTGTCATATCAAATATCATTTATTTAGGTTTTAAGATCAGTGATGTTGCAAAAAGAGATCAAGAGAGAGATGGAAGGAAGGAAGGAAGGAAGGAAGGAAGGAAGGAAGGAAGGAAGGAAGGAAGGAAGGAAGGAAGGAAGGAAGGAAGGAAGGAAGGAAGGAAGGAAGGATGGAAGGATGGAAGGGAGGGAGGGAGGGAGGAAGGAAGGAAGGGAGAGAGAAGAGTAAAGTCAAGTCACAAAATTACCCAAATCAATTAAGGAAAGCCTTGGGTTGGTACAAAGGCTGAGTGCTAGGTAAAGATTCTCAAAGCATGTAGACAACTGAGTTAAGTACGGTTTGAAAAGTCAAGCCAAGTGAAATAGAGCACCCATTTAGAACAGAGCTTCTCAACCTGAGTCAAGGGATTCAGGTTCTTGTATAAAAAAATGCATCTCTATTTGCACTAACATCTAATTATTCAATTATTTTAAAACATTCTAAGAAGACCATAGGCTTTACTTAGTGTAAATTGTCCATCACACACACACACACACACGCATGCATGCATACAAACATGCATGGCAGTTTGCATTAAGAACTCCTGCTTTAGAAAGGATGAACAAAAAACCCATAGTCAAAACCAGATGAAGATAAGTCCAGAGCATTTAGAGCATCCAGAGATAAGTAAATAAGGGTCCTAATGAATTACTCTGCTCCAAATTCTAAGGTGTAACTAGAGCAATACCCAACCAAGTACACGTACTTTAGCAGATCACATCTAATCACATACAATATTGACTGCAACAATTTAGTTTCATCTCAACAGTGCAGAGCTGAAGAGGAGATAACCAGAAGCAATGGTTGTGCTATGCTGTCCAAGAATCTCAGGTGAGGTATTTTTTAAGGAAATAATCCCTTGAGCTCAACACACCATTAAGTCTAAAGACAGTGGGAGATGGAATTGGTTCCAGTGGTTTCCTAGCTGAGCAGGCTAAATTAATGTGTTATGAGCTTCCAGGAAACAAAAACAGAATGTTGATGTCATTCCCCATGTTTCTCTCTAAAATGCTGCTAAACGTTGCTTTGAGATCAGTAGATTTCATGCAAATATACACCTTGTTAAAAATGGAAACATCATTGTTGAGGTGTTAGCTTTTTCACATGACAAGAGTTTATTGTGTGTATTTCTCGAACGGGATATATTGGTGGGCAATAAACTTCAAGTCCCATAGGCTTTTATAATGAAGGTGGTACCAGCTACTTTTTTTAATGATCCTATAAACAGCCATAAATAGAAAAACTCACCTTTAGTACTCCTAATTTCATCACCAAGAATGATTCTCCTTTCCACATCAGTGCCTGGGCACCTTATTCTAGGGCAAATACTTGGGCCCAAAAGAAAACCTTAACATAGGAACAAAAACATCTTTCTTTTCTTTCCCTGAGGCTGGATGACATTTAATTTTTTTAATACAGTTCACATTGAAGTGCAATGCAAAAGTGTCTTCTCTGGCCCTCTAAAGAATAACACTTGGCTCACTGATAAGGAGGAATGGTCTTAACATTTTTAATGGCATTGGAACATGATGTCTTTAGTGTAAGAAATTCTCAGATGGGGATGCTCCATCTTCCAATGCTGGGTACATACCTTCTAGGCAACTCTAGTTTGGAAGACCTAACCTAGGGTCACACAGCCAGTATGTGTCAGAGGCAGGACCTAAACCTAAGTCTTTTTGGTTTCAAGGCCCACTCTCTATCTGCTGTGTTACAATGATTCTCATTTTTAATGTGTGATGAATTTTACAATCATTTCAGCTTTACCTTTCTTCTCTACACCTCCTGCAACAGAAAGGGTCTCTCTGTATGCAAAATCTAGTTTGCAAAACCAAATGTGTTTTAAGGATATACAGGTGTTGTGGCTCCAGTCTAGATATACTTCTATTTTCTCAAACCTTTAGTTATACCTGAGATTATCACTGAAGACATATCTCAATCAGGAAACTACAGTAGAAAGAAATTTCAGGTGGGAGACAGCAAGATAAGGAAAATATTAATGAAGCTGAGATCCTCTGTGAGGGTAATGAATAATCAGGACACAAACAGGTAAATCTAGTTCTTCTTAGGCCTTACCTTTAACCCTAACTCATATTAATTTTGCTGATGACAATGTGAATGAATGAATGGATGGATGGATAGACGGATTCATGGACAGATGGATGAATGAATGAATGAATGAATGAATGAATGAATGAATGGATGAAAAAGCATTTAGTAAGTGCTTACTTACTATGTTCCAAGCACTGTGTCCAATGCTGTAGACACAAACTCAAAAGAGAAGATATCCCCTGCCCTCAAGGAGCTTACATTCTAACAGAAGAAAAAAAAACATATAGGAAAGTGGTGGCCAGGGAGACCAGAAAGTTACAGGGATAGTGAGTGCTTTGAAAAAAAATGCACCTATGACAATTCTGTCATCTGTTAAGATAACACAAAATAGTGTATCATAATATGTCACACTGAATTTGTTAGGAGGCTCTGAATTCATTGACAGTGACATCTCCTGGCACTGGTATAAAAGACCTCTTGGCATTAGTATAATTACAGTGACACAGTAGAGCCTTTACATTAGCATGAGGTGTTTTCATTTTAAACCAGTGAATGGCAAACCACAGAAGAAGAGCCTAAATGAAATTTGCTTGTCAACAACTTCTTTTAAAAATTGCTATGGAATTCATTAAACTGGAGCCAAGTAAAATTGACACAAGCAATCACTAATGGTATCCAATACCAGTCTGTGAAACTTTGTCAGCATGAAAAAATAATGTTTCATAGATATTACTCAGAATTTCATTAAAAATGGCATAACAGGTTGTTCATCTCCTGAATAAAAAATGGGATGGGTTCTTACTTTCAAAGCCAATTCAGCCTACATTGTTTTGGCCTAAGATATTTTGTTGTGAGTCCAAGTTATTGACTTGCCCCTGTAGCATCTCCCTCTTCTCAAAGTACCACCAGAGGAAAAGTCTCTGTAACTTTCTGCAAGACTGTGAATGGAGGTGACAACAGTCAAACTCCTACTTAATATAAGTAACTCTGGTGAGGAGGTAGGTCACGATAATCTTACAAAGGGATTGTTCTGTTGTAGAATGAGAGAAGCTAGTATGAAAACTCATAAAAAAATCACATTGTACCTTTTCTCTTTGCTTTTTCCATGCCTTTAAACTGTACAGACCATAGTGTAGGGGTTGTTTCCTGGGGTGTGGAGGAAAAACAGAACCCCAATAAAAGTCAGCAAAACTGACAGGTGCTATGAGGTTGAAATTCACTTAAAATTAAAATATATGAAACAATGGCCACATTTTAAATTCCAGGAAAGGAAAGGACGCTGAAAAATTATGTCTGTTCCTGCATTCAGCCCATTTGTGTGTGTAAAATTAACAATCAAAGAAGACATCTGTGAAAAAATTCACATGCTTAAATTACGAATGTCAAAAAGAGTGAATGAATTAATTTCACAAACAAATGGAGATGAAATGACACCAATACATTCATCACTGAGGGGGGCCTTCACTGAATTCAATGGTTTAGTAAGTCAATCCAATGGGCAAAAAAAACCATGCCTTTTAACTGGATTAACTAATAGTCTAAAGTAAATCTTAGCAACTTGTTTTCCTTAGGAGTCTCTGTCTTCCTCTTCTGTCTTGTTTTCTGTCGTTAATTCATCTGTATAAGAAGATAAGATCAGAATTATTAGGCCATGGGAAATATATGCATGAGCAACTAGAGGGGAAAAAAGAAAGTTAATATGAAAAATCACAGAATTTTAGAGTGAGAAAGAACCTTAGAAATCATAGTCTAATCCCTCTTTTTTGACAAATGAAGAAACTATGGCCTAAAGAGGGGAAAGACTTAAGGTTACATAGTTAGTTCATGGCAGCTGCTGAGGTCTAGACTTCCAGCCTAGTGCTTTTCCCACTACCTTTGTACATAAGGAAGTAGATGGAAACAATTTCTAATAGTTAGAGCTATCTAAAAGTGGGACAGGCTGCCTTAGGAAGCGACGGGTTCCTCTTCACTATTAGTCTTGGAGCAGAGGCTGAAAGACCACTTCTCAGGTGTGTTGTAGTGGGGACTCCTTTTCAGGTATGGATTGGAAGAAATGGTCACTTCAAACTGTAAAATTCTGTGATTCTCAGGGTTTGTGAATTCACAAAATTAGCTCAATAATCTAGTAACATTCTCCCTTAATATTTATTAAGGACTACAATGTACTAAGTATTTTAAAGCAAAAGAAAGCCACCTGGCCTTTCAGGGGCCTCCATTTTAAGCAATGGTTGACAAATATTTCCTGTTTCATGACTCCAAAGGATTTGATGACTTAAACTTAGGAGTAGGGATCTGGGAAGGAACCATCATGTAGATTCCCAGTACTATGGGTGATAGAAAGGGAACTTAGGAGATGTTGGAACTTGGGACTTAAGGAACTAAACCATTCTCCTAAAAAGAAAAGACAGAGGTCATGATTTGATTTTTATTTTCTTTATTCTGTATTGTTTCTGGAAAGTGGAGTAGGAACGACAAATTATATTGGAAGGAAGGGTAGATAGGAAGAAATTCCCATTTTCATTTCTTTTGTAAAGGTGGTCTTAAGGAGTTTTCCCACAATTCTTTTACAAAGCATGAAGGCTATTCTGATTGGGTCAAAAAGGAGAAATATGTCTGAGAGAACAAACCCATTTACCATGCCCCTGGGGGTTTAAAATAGTCACATCTTGGAAAGTTGAGGACAGTTCAAATCAAAAGTCAGAAGTAGAGCAAGAACCGAGACCCTGATAGGGAATTGCACTTTGGAGGGAAGAGAGGAATTTTTTTTCTTCTCCCTCCCCATAAGCTATTTCACTTTGAAGGGGAACTACTTGACCGTTAAGAGCTGAATGAATGAAATGGTATGGATTAAGAACCTACTGTGTACAGCCCAGGTACTCTGCAAAACCTTAGGCGCACATTTTAAAAAGCAAGAGAATTTGTGCCCTAAAAATCTAAAGGAGAGGAAAGAACACACAAAGAAAGCAGTGGCCAGGGAGGGGTGATTAGTTCTTTGATGTGTGACTTGAAGGAGTACAATATGAATGGTTGCTTAGCAAAATGGAGTGGGGATGGTTTTCCAAGTCTAGTGAATGGTGCAGAATTAAATAAATGAAGCTAATTGAAACACAACCTAGATGTCAACTACAAGGTATTCTGGAGTTCACACAGAGGGACAGGCAGAACCGGCAGAGAGCTACAAGAGGTCATGATGGAAACAAGAGAGAGGAAGATTATCTTTAGTGGAGCTTCTCCTGGATAGAAGAGAATTAATCTAAGCTGAAAAAGACAGGGCTGGTGAAGACATTACTGGGGTCACAGCATGTCTAGAAAAGGAGATGGGCCATTTATGCAGCAAGAATAAGAACACAGTGGATTTTAGAAAAACCTGGAAAGATTTACATGAATTGATGCTGAGTGAAGTGAGCAGAAGCAGAAGAACATTGTACACAGTAACAGAAACACTATGTGATGATCAACTTTGAAGATAATTCCAAAAGACTCGTGATGGAAAACGCTATCCACATCCAGAGAAAGAACTATGGAGTCTTCATGCAGATCTAAGCATACTATTTTCCCTTTTTTTTTTTTTGTTTTTCCTTTCTTGTGGTTTTTCCCCTTTTGTTCTGATTCTTCTTTCACAACACGACTAATGTGGAAATATGTTTAATGTGATTGTACATGTATAACCAATATCAGATTGCTTGCTGTCTTGGAGAGGGAGGAGGGAAAGAAGGGAGGAAGAAAAATCTGGAACACAAAATCTTACAAAAATGAATGTTGAAAACTATCTTTACATGTAATTTGGAAAAAAAATAAAATACAACTAAGTGCAAAAAAATGCATAAATGCTATTTTGGCAAGGACGGCCATCCTTTAAATAGCTGTGATTGGCCCATTTCAAGATTTTCTTTGGAATTAAAAAAAAAAAGAACGAGACCACAGGAGAGGTACATGAGTATCCCTGGGAAACCATCACAATAAAAGGAAGACCTACAGAGCAATGGATAGATCCTCAATGTAAGATTTCAGTCTAGTTATCCTGATCTATATCTGGCTACTGGATTCAGATGGCTCCAGAGGAGAAAGTGAAGCTGGTGACTTTGCACAGCCCTCCCTCACTTAAATCCAATTCACTTGCATGTCATGGCATCACCTTGATGTCATGGTCTTCTTTGAGAATGAAGGACAAACAACAAGATTTCAGTTACAGAAAAACACTGACAAGGACTGCCCAGCAGGGGTGGGGAACCTGTGGCCTCAAGGCCACACGTGGCCTTCTAGGTCCTCAAGTGCAGACCTTTGACTGAAACCAAACTTCACAAAAACAAATTCCCTTAATAAAAGGATTTGTTCTGTAAAACTTGGACTCAATCAAAAGGCTGCACCCAAGGACCTAGAAGGCCACATGTGGAGGGTGCAGATTCCCCGCCCCTGGCCCAGGCCTAGAAGGCATAAAGGAGAGATTACAATCTATGCTAATGGATGGAGTATAATAATGATAAAATCATGAATCTTTCACAACACCAAAGTACCTCATTTGTAAAGTGTAATTAAAAATTATTAGTGACTTACAAACTTATGGATTGTTGGTGTTCAGTTGTTTTCGATCATGCCCAACTCTTTGTGACCCCATTTGGGATTTCCTTGGTAGAGATACTGGAGTGGTTTGCCATTTCCTTCTCCAGTTCATTTTATAGATGAAGAAACTGAGGCAAACAGGGTTAAGTGATTTGTTCAGCATCCCACAGCTACTAAGTGTCTGAGGCCAAATTTGAACTCAGGAAGATTAGTTTTCCTAATACTTGCCTGGAGTTCTATCTCCTGCACCCTTGGCTGCTCACAAGTTGATGGATACTTCTAAAATATACTTAAAAGTTGGAACAGATCACTGTTCAATTCACACCATTAAACAAGGTTCTAGGGTATGAGTTTGAATGCCAGCAATGTCACTTACTCATAGGGTGACTTTGTATAGGTCACACTTAACCTTCTCTGATCCTAAGTTTCTATATCTTCAAAATGAGGATGATAATATTTGCCCTGACAATGTAATAGGATTGTTGTGAAGTTCAAACTTAAGTAAAATACTACAAAAAAATGCTGACTATCATTATTAAAGAAAGTATCATGAGAAAAACAGATGGCCAGCCAGTCAAGCCAACCTCTACAAAAAAGTCCTTAGAAATACAAATATTAAAAGAGAATTTAAAGGCTAGTAACATAATAGCTGATGTTTATATATAGCCCTTCCAGGTTTGTGATGTGTTTTATACAGTCACTATAGCATTTGACAAAAAAGAATCCTTCTTGAAGGTATTTATCTCATATATATTTGTCTCCAATTTCTTAAAAACCAACGGGGAAAACAATTTTAAAGTATATAAAAACCCAGTAGGGCTTATCTTTTGCTGAGTCAAGCATTCTCTGAGGGAAACTGGTTCACTCTATCTGAAAGGAAATGGGATTTCAAGTAAATAAAAGCATGGGAGCACCCACTGATGCCCTTGGGAAGGCAATCTACCTAAATGATACCCAAATGCCCTCAAGGGATGTAGCGTTTAAGAGACACAGAAAGAAATCTACCAAAGGCAAGCACTCAGCCCTGGTGTGTTAAGGATTTCCCTATTAGCTAGCCAAAGTTTTTCTCTGTAGAAAATTTCAGGGATAATAGACTCACTGTTCTTCTACTCCCACTCCCACTCACTGAAAGGCAATTAGTCCACACAACTAATAGCTGTACTGCAGATAGCTTTCTCAAAACAACAGAAGCTCCCTTTGAAACTTTCCAGGTGGAGGGGGTAATGATGTATACCAATATGTACTCACTGCAGGCCCCTGCACATGGCCTAGGAAACAATTTTCACATTTAAAGGTTTTGGCAAGCCAATTTGAATCCTATGGGCCTTCTGATAGCAGAATGGCTAAATCAAAGATATTCACATAAAATTGCTTGAGTCCAGAGAATTAATTCTATCAAATGACCATAACGCATTGCCAGAGCTAGCTCAATACCTGGGAGGCTCTAAAAGAAAGTGTGGGAGATAAGAGGTATTAGGCTGTATACCAAACTGAAGGTCTACAAAGCCATTGTGCTGACCTCATTGTTGTATGTCTATGAAAACTGCACAGTCTATCAACCCCATGCTTCCACTTAAATTGTCTTAGGAAGATTCTGAAGATCACCTGACAGGATAAGATACTGGACACTGAGCTCCTTTCACGAGCTGAACTACCAAACACTCAAACTCCACTACAGAGAGAGAAACTCTGAAGGGCTGGCCACGTAGTCGGAATGCCAAACATACATTTGCCTAAGACTATTTTACAGAGAGCTCGCCTAAGGCAAGTGCTCACACAGAGGTCAGAAGAAGTGGTACAAGGATCCTCTCAAAGTCTCTCTGAAGAACTTTAGCGTCAATTGTGAGACATGGGAAATGTGTTCAAAAAGGTGCTGTGCTCTATGAGCACAGCTGAATCGCTGTAGCACAGAGGAAACTTGATGTACAAATTTTGAGGCATCCCCATCCCAAATGTTCAAATGGACTCTTTGTGTCCAGTCTGTAGTGGAGTCTTTCGAGCTTGTATTGGACAGAACAGCCATAGCCAAACACACTGCACCTTGACCCCAACTTCAT